ATTTGTCTTGATCCATGGAAAAGCTGGAACTCGGCCGGAAGTACATATAGAGAATTGTTCCGTGGAATATCCCGACAGCCGTCAGGTGAGAAGCACAGGTGGAAAATGCCTTGCGCCTGCCCTCAGCCGAGCGCGTTCTCAGGATGGTAGCCAAAATATACACATAGGATACAAGAACCATACCAATGCTGCCTGCTTCAAGGAAGCCATCAATGGTAAATATCACCATCTCATTAACATACGTCTCAGAACAAGAGAGTACTAGGAGTGGAAGTTCCTCACAGAAGAAGTGATTGATAATATTAGAGCTGCAGAAAGACAGTTGGAATGTACAGGAAGTGTGTATTGTTGAATCCAGGAGAGATGTAAAGTACACAATAGTGATCAATTGCTGGCAGGTCTTTTTGGACATTACATTTGAATAGAGAAGTGGATTGCAGATGGCTACATATCGATCATAGGCCATCACAGCCAACAAAAGGCACTCTGCATCTGCAAGCATATCAAATAGAAAGAACTGTGTAGCACAGGCACTGTAAGAAATCCTTTTCGTTGCACTTAATAAATCAGACAGCATTTTAGGAGCAATGGCTGAGGAACAGCAGAGATCCACAAAGGAGAGGTTGCCCAGGAAGTAATACATGGGTTTCTGGAGTTGGGGTTGAGTGCAAATCAATAGAATCATGATGAGATTCCCTAACACAGTGATGGCATAAACGAAGAGGAAGATGATAAAAAGAACAAGCTGCATTTTGGGATTGTCTGTAAATCCCTGAAGAATGAATTCAGTAATGACAGAATTATTTCCTTTATCCATGATTTCCTCAGTGGATGGTTGGTTTAGGTTATTAACCGATCCTGAATTTTTTTCCTGCTTTCTTATGTGGGAAAAGAAAATTATATTACTTACAGCTTCATGCATGTTCCTATCTTGATGCAAGAACAAGCTGGATTTTTTTAAAGAGAACTGGGACCTCATTACTAACTTAACTCAGCATGCAGTATATTTTCTAGGTGGAATCTATTTATTATGCAAAAAGGTAGCCTGTGAGAATATACATACTTCTAATATACTTGCTTCACTGTCTGTTTCAATGCTAGTGAAGGACACAGATCAATATATTGCTACGCCTGTTGCTATAAAAGTCCATGTTGGATTTTAATGTATTTATGGCAGCTGGCATTTGCAATCCTCCCTCCTCCTCACATTCCGAAACCTTGCAACATGTCCAAGAAAAGGGGGATTTGAAAGTTCCAGAAGTCCTGGTTCAGGCCCCCTTCATCCCAGGTCTCGTTTCAGGAGATGGCAAATTTGCAGGTGGTAAAATACATGAGATTCCTACCCCATTCATTTTCCATTTTTGTTTCTTTGGGTTCTTAATTAAAGGTTCAAGCAGCTATTAAAAGTTTCTTTGTTTCAGAAGCTCTCAACATACCACCAACCATTTCATCTCCTTTTATGGTCCTTTTTTGCATGTGTTTGCTTTTACACAATTTTTCCCTCTACATTGCCCATGGGACACCCCTCTGTGTACCTAGGGTGTCCCTTGCCTATGTTGACACCTGAACTTATTTCGATGTGGAGCCACATAATATAGCAAGTACAGAGATTCTATTATCCTATTTATTAAAGCATTTTAGACCAATATTTTCAAAGTTAAGGGTTAAGAAGTCTGGCAATAATTCCTAGAGACATCTTTATAGGCAGGAGTGGAACAGTTGGAAAGTGATGCCTCCAAATTCTCACCACCAATGCTTCATGATCATTGATGTATAAAGGCACTGAAAGATATAAGTGCATCAAAAGGGTTGCATTCTCCTGATGTCTCTCGTAGTAGAAATCATCCACCAGGATGACCAAAGGTTCTTCATGCCAGATCTGAGCCTCATCCCAGGCTGGGAAGCTTCAAGATAATTTCTTTTACCTAAGTAGTCCTGAAGCTGTAGGATCAATAAAGCTGTATTCGTCAGTTCCTCTAAAAATCCAATAATTTGGCTGAGATAATTCTTCATAAAAAACATCACCACACCTCCTCTGAAGGGGCAGGATGAAAAACAGTTACTAGTGATCTGATGGGTGCTGTCAAGCAGACATCCTTAGACACCGTAATAAACCAAGCTGGGAGCAGATAAAATCTTATGCGCTTTTTACAGAGACAAGGAACAACACTGATTGAAACAGATCGTAAAAACTTTGTTATAATGTTCCCCTAAAAGACATCCTGTCTTCCTTAAATATGAGTTTTCTCATCCACAAAGAATCCCCCAGGCTTCTCATGATAGAGTTTAGATGGTGTCTGGATGGAGTTAAGCCCTGGAGGCTGGTCTTCGACTGGGGAGCCCTGAAAAGCTCCCTTGGACAACTCATCTCAGAGGCACCAAGGCAGGAAGCCTATCTCTTCCCTCTTTGATGACCATGGTCCAAAGCAATTTCCTGCCATTACTCAATACAGATTCCTAACTTTGCTTCTAGTTGATGTCTTATTCTTATTTAGACTTACATTGGTCTCAAATGAGAAAGATTAAATTTAGTTACATTAAATTAAACTGAAGCCAGGAGAGGGCAAGAGAATACATCTTTATTCTTACAGTTGGGAGAGAGGATGATTCTCATTTCTATGCTATACGTAC